TTTCTTAGTGAAATGGTAAATCAAGGGGGTCCCCTGAAAGCAGAAGTGCTGCCCACGAATGGGGGTTCTTTGGGGTTGGAGCGCATGCACCGTAAGAAACAGCAAGTTGCAGGGAAAGGGCCATGCCTGGCCGTGAGTGCCTCACGGCTGCGTGGGGACTGGAAACGGGATCCCTCAGGTTCGGACCCCCACGTGCCGCTGACTCCCGTGGCAGGCTTTGTTTTCATTATCACAGGAAAATGTGCATTTCCCCAAAAGGACACACCATTTGTACACATTTCTGAAATCTGGCCTTATTTCTCCAATTGATTAAAGTGTCCCTGCAGGCTTTTTTCAGAGATATGCCTTGGGCGTACACTTTCAAAAACTATGCCTTTCCCCCATGCGCAGCACTGCAAGCTTGGGAATGGATGAGCTCGGGTGGCCGGCTGGGTCCAGCCCCTTCCTCGGCTCAGGCTCTGCAAACTGGGCAAATTCTCTCCAGAATGAACAGAAACTAATGTCCCTCCCGCCCCACAGAGCAGCGGCTGTACTGTGTCATGCTTGAACCCGGGGCACTCGCGGCCATGCGCACGCTCTGCACGTGTGCTTGCTGTGGAGTGTGGCGGCGTGGTCCATCCTGTCAGCTGGGCGAGGGGCTGCATGGCCCGAGCCCAGCGGAGGCAGCACAGGGGGGCCTCTGCGAGGAGCCCGCCGGGGATGGCAAGTGCGGGGCGCCGGCTCCCTCTGGATGCCCAGCCTGTGGATCCTGGGCAGCTGCCAGCGTTGCTTTGCCGGGGGCATTTTTATTCCCTGAACGACCTGTCCTGACTCTAAGTATTTCTGTCCTTTCATGTTCTCAGATTTCTCTCACCTTGTGCTCAGGATTGTTTCTTAGACGTAGAGCGGTTTGTATGTTTTGAAATCAGAGAGAATAGATCCACAAAGGCGGGCAGAATCAAGGCCCACCCTAACAGGACGAGCAGAAAGCGCACATGTCGCTTGGCATGGCAAGGGAGCGGCCACAACCCCGATGGCAGCAGGGGGTCAGAGGGATGCGGGAGGCACTGTTTACAGGCCTGGCTGGCTCCACAGGGCAGCGATGCGCCAGGCCTTCTCTGGGGCACTCCCAAATGGAAGTGCGGACAGCTAAGGCCGGGCCCCTCTGCTTGCTGGAGAGGCAGTGTTTCATAGGGGTTAGAGTGCCACACTGGGATTCAGGAGAGCCACATTCTCGTTCCCACTCCATTGTGAAGCTTATTGGAAATTTAGGACTAGTCACTGATTGTCAGCCCGACTTGCCTCACGGAGCTGCGCGAGACCAAGATGGAGAGGAGGGGGAGGATTCTGCAGGCCACTCCGAGTGCTTCCCAAGGAGAAAAAAGTTAGGATGCAAATGTAATGAACAGGTGAACGCAAGTGTTCTGCCACCAGAGCTGCGGCCCCACCACAAACCGGGCGTTGCAGGCATCTGGGGAAGGGGGTCTTTCTTGTAATGTCTTTGGGGCACACTTCTAAGTAAAAGAATTTAGGACTGCGGGTGGTGTCAAGGCCCCCACGCTATACTTTTTCAGGCTTTTGTTTGGGGAAATAATTTCCAACAGAAAGAAAAATTGGCACTGGTCTCTTTTCTAACTGAAATAGCTATTTTTCAGTTAAACGAAGCTGTACTTCTGGGGCTGCAGCTGCAATGACCAGGCCAAGCCACGCATCAGTTCTCTTAAGCTGGACCCTCTAGAGCTTAACCTGCTGGGCAGCTACAGCATGTGCGTCGTGAACTGTCAGCTGGGCCCTCCTACTCTGCGTGTGGGCATTTCACGAGCCTCACGCGGCTTGGTCAGCCTTCACACTCTGGTTGTTCCCAACTCTATGGCAGCCTCACTAAAGCAGCAAAATAAAAGGGCCACCTGCTTCCCACTTCAAGCTCGCCACACTTGCTCCCAACCTCTCTTACTACAGAAAGAGGCCAATCCAGCACCTTCACGTGGAAACATCTCATTTCAGAGGTACGGATGCACCTGGAGCTTCGCTGTCAGGGAAGGACCCCCCCCCCCGCACACCACAAGAGAAGCTCTGTGGAAGCGCTGGCCCAGTGGGGCAGGGCGGGACACTTGTGGCCCTTTCAGTGCGGGTGGCAGAACCATTCCCCGTGCAGGGGACAAGCGGACGTGTCATCTGAGGGAGGCCACCGGGCTGAGCCGGCAGCTCGCCAGGACAGGTGGGGGAAGTGCCTCAGGTGCCCACGGAGGCCTGCTCGAGGGTCCCACGCAGGATGCTGGCGAGTGGGGCAGCGTCTATGCATGCCCCCCCCCAACCATGGCCGTGGACGGGAGGCAGCAGCACAGGCTGAAGGGAGGCGCTCCCCACGGCAACCTGCAGCCGAAGGGTCAAGAAAGGTGGGCTGCCACCAGGGGCAGGCCTTGAAAAAGCTGCCGGCACCCGAAACTGCCCCGGGGAGCGATGCGGGAGGAACCGTTTCCGCCGGGCGGCTGTGAGGCTGGAGGAAACGGGGACCCTGTTCCCAGGAAAATGCAGCAGTTGCTTCCTCTTGCAGTGGAAGGAATAAATGCGAGGGTAAATGTGGTGTGGGAGCTTCTGCCCCCACCTCTCTTATTTCACCCCTGCAGGGTCCTCGGCTACTGAAAGATTGCAGCAGCAGCTTCTCTCTTGTCTGCCACCAGCGTCTCCATCCCCTCCTGAAGCGTTCCGTGTCGGGAACCGTCGCTTTGTCTTGCAGTGGTACTGAATTCCACAGCTTAATGATGTGCTGCATGAGCAGGGCCCCCCATTTGTCTGTGCCGAGTCCCCCACCAGTCAGCTCCATGGGATGACTCTAATGTCTCTGCGCTATGAGAGAGCGAGTTTTCTCCCTTTCCCATTTCTTCACACCATCCATCACTTTGTGTGCCTCTATCATGTCCCCCTTCCTTGCCTTTTTTATAAGCTGCAGAGCCCCAGACTTTCCTCCTAGGAGAGAAGCTCGAGCCCACGGACCGCGCTGGAAGAAGCCCCCGATGCAGCCGCGTGGCCCTGCAGCCTTTGCCTTGGGAGCCCTTGAGCCAACGTGGCCTGCGGGGTCGCGGGTGAGTGACGTGCGAAAGGGTGGCCAGAGTGGGAGATGTGCTCGGGCTCTGGCTGCAGGTGCATGGGGGGGGCAGGTAAATTCCCTTCCGGGGCACTAGCTGGGCGGGAACAGCAGCCGGGACAAGGTGCTGAAGCAACTGACCGGGAGGATCAGGGCAAGCCTGCGGGGAGGCGACTGCTGCTTGGCGCAGGCCGTTGCCCAAAGGGCTACGAGACGCTGAGGGAAAGCGGCTGGCTAAGCACAGCAGTGGCAGCTGTTCTCCCTTCTGCACAGGAGAGCTTAGGAGGCTGGGGAAGAACAGGCTGAGGGAGCAGGTGCTGTGCAAAGCTGTCCGGAGGTCTCACTGGGGGGCGGGAAGGCCCAGTGCAGCAGTGCAGTGGCAGGAGCTGGACTCGCCCTGCGAGGGCCCTGGGCTGGGGGGCGGCTCAGGGCTCCCAAGAGGAGACCCGCAGGTGGGGCTGCCCAGCAAAGCTGCGGGCAGCACTGGGGAGAGGAAAGCCCCCACAGCTCTACTGGAGCCCCCCCAAGTACTTTGGCCTACAATTCCCATGTTCCTCACCGCTGGCCGGCCAGAGTTGACCAGTGCTGCTGCGAGACACAAGGTGCCAGAGAGGCCCATGCCTGGCCAGGCCAGTCCTCGCCATCCTCCGCCCCGTCTCAGGATACCTGACCGGAGCTCGGTGAAGGCTGGAGGTCTCGGGTCACACGGCGACCACAGCAAGCCCGGTCCAAGGGCAAGAATGGCTTGGGGGGGGGGGGGCTGCCCTGCACCACTGCCCCAGTCATGCGACACCCCTGCAGGTTTAATCCTGAACCCCCATCTGCGGGAATGAGGCTGCAGCAAATCGGGAAGGCTGCTTCCAGGAAGCCGAGGGGCAGAAGAGGCACAGTCTCCTTCTGAACTAATACAGGAAGCAAACGCTATGCAACAGGCCACCCCCCGGCACGTGCGATTTGCGTCTGGGGGCGCCGCACCGGGGCAGGCTGAGCGAAGCGAGGGCCACTTCATGAGAAGGCGAGCCGCCCCAGGAAGGACCATCACGCCAGCGAAGGTCGAGGGCAGAAGACCACCGAATACGAGAGGGATGGATGGCTCCCCGAGGGGATGTCACTGCCTTGAAGTCACACGAGCTGAGAAGAGCCGCCATGGCAGGCTGTTTCGGAGGGCTTTCTTTCCCTCACCGTCACTTAAGTCGGGGCAACTTAATGAACGTAACAGCAAAGGACGCAAAGCGTGTGGTGAAAAGCTACTGAGCTTCCAGGCAAGGTCTGAACAGAGGAAAAGGCAGGGGGGCAGTTCGAACACCAGAGGAAGGTAAGACCGGGGCGCCCTCCTCCAGCAGCGGCACAGAACACCGCAGCATCCGAGGAAGGACTCAAAGGCCCCCCTTGCGGTTAACAATAATTGCTAGATAACATGCCCCCACACCTACTAACCATTTGGGTCTGCCCTAATTCTTCTTGATTAGCTCAAGCTATTTCAGCTTTCCAGTTATTACTCTTTTATCCCAATTTTTCTTCAAGGAACTAAAGGCCGCCTACATGTTCCTCCCTTGCCCATTATATCAACTGTGTGAGGCTGGCAGGCTCAGAGAGCATTACTGGCTCTAGATCATCCAACTTCCCCGACTTGGTGGCCTTCAGAGGCATCTGGACCACAGCTCCCAGAATTCCCACCCAGCAGGGCCATTGGCTGGGAATTCTGGGTGTTGCAGTCCAAGCATGTCTGGAAGGCGCAAGGCTGGGGAAGGCTGTTCTGCATAACCTCCCGAGCTTCATGGCTGAGCAGGGACTGGAGCCCAGTCCTCTCAGCCCTACCTGAGAACACTAACAGCTTCCAAACCTCCTCTTTTCATGCTCACCCTGAGGAACCTACATAGGGAGTTCTCACCTCAGGGTTCTGCCATTTAGCCATTTCCCCAAGAATTTGCCTTACCTTGGCGGTGCTTTGCCCTCAAACGGGTTGGAGGCCATTAGAGACAAGATGCCCTTCTCGTTGGCCAAAAGCTTTCCGGCTAAGTGGATTATCCACTCATTTTGCTCGTAGGTCTTGCAGAAGAAGAAGAAGAGTGCATGGAGGGGAAGAGAATAATAGAGATAAGTGAAACCTGAACCTCCTCGGGAGCACCTCTTGAAGAAGGTCCCATGTTGAAGGCACATAAGGAATGCGCATTTGTGGATGGGGGTGGGGCCTTCCAGCATGTGGATGCCCCTTCCTCTCTTTGCCAAAAGTCCCTCCTGTGACGGCCTGCCATCGGTGTGTGCACACACGCACCCCCAGCCCCTGATCCAGGGTCACAGGAGTCCTTCGGGGCTGAGAGTGCCATGTCCCCTGCATGCAGGTCACCCTTAAGCCAGCACCTCTCTGGTGAGGCACTGCAGGGGCAGTTTCCTGGGCTTGCTTTTGTGTTGGTCCCACACAGGAGGATGTTCTCCATGGCAGGCACCAGGGGACACTGTAAGAAAACCGATGCCAGAAGCCGTACCTGCAAGCCTGCCCCTCTGTGCCGAGGCAAAGAACAGTTTTAGGCCAGACAGATGCTGCAGCTGACAAGGCATCCCCATCCCTCATCCTTCTGGCAGGGGTGGTTGTGTGAGTGAGCAACCCTCGGTTGTCCGAAGGAAGCGCTGGGCGGGAGTGGGGATTTGTGGATCCAAATCACCAATCAGGTTCATGTTCACTCTCAGAAACTTGCCTGGGGAGCAGGTCCAAAGGAGCATCTGCTTCCCATGTGCATTCAGAAGCAGAGCTGCCTCATGGGTCCTGCACATGCCTTCCAGAAATTCCCAGGTGAAGCTCTGGCAGCATGGCCAGGCAAGGCCAGAAGAGGGCCTGCTGAAGCTCTGGAGAGGTGCTGCCCATCAGAGCTGGCTAGATGGAGCCAGCCAGGTCTGGCCAAGGGTAAGGTAGCTCCCAGTGTTCCAGCCCACATGGAACAGAACGAAAGACGAGCCCAGTAAAAAGACGCCCCCCCATTGGCTGGGCCAAGCAACCCCACGCGCCTGCAGCTCTTTCCCGCAGGCGCCCTGGTGCTCTGTGCTCGCTTTACGAGGAAGCCTCGTGGCCCCCCTAGAAAGTGACTGGCCTCGTTCTGGCACCACAGGGGAGGGTAAGAGCTGGGGCACATGCTAAAAAGACGGACACTCTCTCTGCCTTTGAGCAATGCCCTGAAACTCTGCCACGTTTGCTTCTTTCCTCATGTTTCTCTTGGGGGGGGGTGTCTTTTTTTACTGAACCCGAAGATCAAGTAGCTGGGGCCCTGTGTCAAACACAGTCATTTGTGATCAAGCAGCATATTAAAGGCAAACTACACTCGAATGGTTGGGAGGTTCATGTTTCCTTGGACCCAACCTGTGGCAGGAGGGGAGAGTTAACCATTCACTCTCCAGCCACCATTTCGCTGAAAAGAGCCCTCCCCCAATACAGTTCTGGGGTTTAGAAAAAGCCCTCTGGCACCAATGGGGGCTTTTATTCTCAGCCTGCAGCCTGGAGTGGTTGGTAAGCTGCAGCTGGGGAGAGAAGGAAGAAGCCTCCCCTCCGGCGCTGGGGAGAGGCGTTTAACTAAACGTGCACTTTGGCCCTAAGAATGAAAGTCTGGGCTTGCTGTGCCTGTGAGAAGTGAGCATGGCTGACAGCCTGCAGCACAGGAACACACTCCCGAGTATCCCAAGCTTTCCTGATTCCTGGCCTCGTCGTTTTGTTTCCGCTGCAGCCGAACCACGGGGAGCCCAGAGGAACGCTGGCTGGCCTGCTGCCATCCCCGGGGCCCTTCGGGGAGGTGCTGACAGATACACTGCCCACCAGGCTCCCGACTGCACGGTGCGCGGCTTCCCCACCAAGCCATTTAGCCCCTGCCAGACGTGGAATAGGTGGGGCTGGCTCCCCACGCCATGACCCTCTCCCTGAGCTGGGCAAGGGTGGCAAGTGGCTGGGACTGGACTGGGGCAGAGGGAGGGGACAAGGACACGGGGAGCTGCTGCTCTCCCACCTGCTTCCAGGGCAACTTCAGAGGAAACCCTTGGCTGCCACGGAAAGCCCTGCCCGACAGAGAGGGAGCATGTGCAGAGGGAAGCACCACCTCCGGGGTGCCCTGCATGCACTCACCCCACCTGGACACCTGCCTGCAAATGCTGTGCAGAAAATCACAGGCGGCCGTAGCAGGAACAATATAAAAACGCACCCATAAGATGCAAGGGTTGGTTGCATTCACACATTACATTTGTGAAAGTGCACTTTAAAATGTAGAATTTGGAACATCTTACCCCTCCTTCCCAAATAACCAGAAAACTGTCTGTTAGAATCATAGGGTTAATTAAAAAACAAAACGTTTCTCTATGTAAATACATGCAAATGTTACACAGATTGTCACACCTTTTTCTCATCTTCCTTCCTTGTGAGAAGTAAGTGGCTGCCCTGAGGTGGTACTTCTCTTCCCAAGCTCTTCTTAGGTCTAGTTCATGCAAACAACCTGGTTCAGGTGCCTCTAATATTCTAGATGGCTCCCTGCCTCCCTTACTAAGAAGCAAAGCAGAGAGGATGTTTCTTTCTGATTCGTCAGTCGCCTCACAGCATCTGTGCTACTGGTCTCTCAGTTTTTAGGGGAAATAGTTCAGTCTGTGCTTTCCTTCTGAAATGTGACAGTCCCAGATTGGCTTTTTCATCTCGCCTGCTGTCTGCGTGAGCTTTGGAGGCCCCCAGGCGGAAGCAAGGGTCTCTACTCATTCCCCCCAAGAGGTGCCTCCAGAGGCAAATACCGGAAGGCACAGGAAGCAGCCTTCCGTGTGGGCCCAAACTCAGCCACTTTGCTTCTGTGATTCAGAGGCAAATTGTTAGGTTGAACAGCAAGAATCCGTCTGGGCATTTCCAAGGAATGTGGCTCCTCTAGAATAAAAAGAACAAACCATCCAACGCACGGGCAACTTGGACTGATTCCAGCAGTGGTGCAACGGTTAATCGGCGTGGGGCTGGGATTCCAGTGGTCTGGGTTCCAGTTCTAGTCCTGTTCAGCCAGGGAGCCCACTGGGTGACTCTGCCCAGCCACAGAATCACAGCCCAACCCACCTCGCAGGGCTGTTGTTGTGGGGTAAGACTGAGAGCAGGAGGAGAAGAATGATGTAAGCCACTTTGAGAAAGAAAAGGGCGGCATGTAAATCGAATACACAAACAAGCAGATAGCTTAGCTTGTGCCTTGAAACTGAGCACACAAAACATTTCAATGCCCCGAGGCCCGTACATTGTCTCAGGGCTACCATATTGCAGTGCATGGGGTGGGTGCTCTGGAACAACAACAACAACACCACCACCACCACTACAAAGAGATTCTGGGCTTTGGAAGCGCCATCCATCGGCACACTGACTGGTATCAGTCTGCATGGCTGGGGTGGGCTTAGCTTTTATCTAGAACAAAGGGGGAATGCCCTCTCCTTCAAAGCCCATTGACAATTGGAAAGGATAAGAAAACCCTTATCCTGTAAACTTCAAAAGCTCACTCTGCATTAGCCCTCCTTCCATAAGAAGGGCTGAAGTTTTAGGGTTATGCTCCCTGACTTTGAGCCATTGTCCTTTGTGGTGACTTTGCAAAATTCAATTAGTTTGCTCAGGTCACACCCCTCCGCTCACATTAGCAACTGATTCAGCATGGAATTCACCTCTCCTGGCTGATGCTTGCGGACTCTGACACAGCTCCATGTGCCTCAGGGGTGCAGGAGAGGTTCTTGGTAGACCTTTTTCATGTAAGGGGAAGGTGCGATTGACCTTTGCGGGGCAAGCCGGGGCAGCTTCTGCAAGGGTTAGTCCCAGCCCTGTCTGTCACTCAGTACAGAGTCCCTGCCTTGCAAGTGGAAAGTCTCGGAGTCAAAGGTTTACAACTGGGAGCAGGCCTTTGCGGGAGCAGCACCGGGGTGCTGCGGGGCCCCTGGAATGCTCCTAAGGGAAGCTCCTTCTCAAAATTCAGATGTTGACTAGCGATCATCATCACCTTTTAGTGCTGCTCTTTGGGGCCTTCGGTACGCATATTTTCATTCATGCTGCAGTTATCTCATGAGGTAGCAGGAAAGCAAAACTGAGTGCTGAAACTTCTAAGGATTTTGCATCACTTAAATATTCAGGAGAACAAGTTTGCAACTGCCAAAGTGCAAAGAGGGAGACTAAACCACGGAGAAGCAAGCAGCCCATTTTTTCTGCAGTTCTGATAGCATTTGCTAACTGTTAGCTAATCAATGTACGGCTGCCAAGTTGCTGGCATCCCACAGTCCACATTTGCATCAAGCCCTTTTGCTGAGGCCTGGTGCTTGGCTGCTCTTGGTGGGTGCTCTGTACTCCACACTTGGTGGGCACCTGGGGTCTTGGAACCTCCGTGGGATACGCACCTGGAAGGCTGCAAACCACATGAGCCAGTCCAGGCGGTAGTGGTATGGACTGATGAGGCAGGGCCTCCTTCGCAGGTCCCCGGGCTTGCACTTGAACTCATACTCTTCCCAGAGGGCAGCAGGGTCATCTGGGTCCAGGCTGGATGTACCTTGAAGGATGACTTCAGTTCTTTCCTTGGTGATGCTGCGAAAGACGACGAGAGCCATGTTTCCTAAAAAGTTGGGGATCCAACCCCCATCTGCGCTCAAGCAGCCTGGATCCACAAGAGGCAGAAACACACCTGCACGGCCCATGCTGCACGGGGAGCAAGGCTCTGAGTGGCTGCGTGAGGGCAGCGGGCGTGGAGGGGTGCGACCAGCGTGTTGCTCTCGAGCCGTATCTGGGGCTTCCCGGGGCCCTGGGCCCCTGCCTGTCCTGCCTCTGAGTCCCAAAAGCTGGCAGCCAAGGCGTTTCTGGGCAGCCCACAGCTAACCACGGGGGGCTGGGAGAAGGAGGCCTCCCCGTGGTGGGTATTCCCTCCCTAACTGCCTCAAGAAGGAAGCATCTTGCCACACGGGGATGGGAGAAGAAGCAGGCCGAGAAAGAGAGCCGTGCAGCTGAGGTATCCCCATCCCATTCCCGCCCTCCCGCTTCCCCCTTTCCTTGGAGGGGCTGGGCGCTGCATCCTGAGGCAGGGGCTGTCCAGTGATTGATTCTGGTTCAGGACCCTTTTGACTGAAGAGCCCAGCTAGAAATGCTGAGAATGAGAAGCAAGCAGGTGGCATGGACCTTTGGTCTAATGCCGCAGGCCGCTTTGTACTCCGAGGCTGGAAGAGCCTCAGAGGCAAAAATGAAGCGAAATGAAATGAAATGAAATCAGCTGATGGGAACGGGATCCGAATGAGCAAGCGGCTGGAACGTGTTTCCTCTGACCAGCATTTTCAGGTGTAGAACGCGGGGAGGGAAACCAAGAGAAAGCAAGGAGGCATTGGAAAATGTGAGAAAAATATGGAGAATACAGAGGACCTCTCCTCTTTTACAACACTTGAACTTGGGTTCCCCTCATTCTTCCTTCCTGCCTTCTGGCCAAACTCAGCAGGGCTGCCTCTTTGCAGCAGGGAAATGCCGGAGGGATGCTCCTCTGACAGACAGGGCAGGAAGGCCTGCGTTGGAGGCCTCCCTCTCTCTGCTTCTGCTTCCTCTCTCTCTGTGGTGATGCCGATTTTCCACAGTCATTTTTAAACATTAATAGGCTAAATCGCAGTTCATTCATAAGCACAGGCAGTTCGTAACTTGGATGTGTGCGACTCAGGGACTGCCTGCATTGCAAAAGAACTAGAGCAGCTTTCCCCAGCTGGGCCACCTGCACTGCTATGCTGGCTGGGAAGGATAGGACTTGCAATCCGGCATGGGCCAAGAATGCCCAGTTGGGGAAGGCGGGGCTGGGGGCCATGGTCCCACCCAAGGAAGCCCTTCCCATCTCCCTCGGACCCAGTCCTGCCTTGCCCTCCAGGCTGGCAGTGCAGCAGAACCCGCAGAGCTGCTGCCCCCGTGGTTCCCGCTGCAGTTCCACGCTTGCAGCCAGGACGCCCCGCTGCCCAGCAGACCGGCAGGCGAGAGGTGGCCCGCTTCCTGCCACAGACGAACACGCCGTAAATCTGGGGCACCAAATGGCTAATAAAAAGCATGTTCCTACTGGGCTATTCGAAATATGTCACCCTTCACATAATCATACATTCATTATGAGCTGCAATCCTCTTTTTATTGGTTTACATAGGCTGGAATTACAACTGTATCATCACAGCCTTTCAGCACATGCTCACAGAGCTCTGGGAGCTGTCCAAGGAGGCAAGGGATGGGAGCGGGGCGGCCAGGAGGACGGGAAGCGACAGACCGTTTGGGAGCCAGGACGGGAGATGAGGTGCCTTCTCCGGCACAACCCCAACACGTGGCAGGAAACAGGCTGGGGGGCTGCAGGCTCAGCTAGAAAGCAAAGGGAGAGTTGCCACGAAGGAGGCAGAGGGAATGTGACAGCCACTCACACACACAAGGCCTTGGGAATGGCAATGCGCATGTTATGAAAGGCAAATAGATTGCATTCCACATCAAGGAAAACTGAATTCAGGCACCTGCTCTTTTTAAGTGAATGAATGGTATGCTCTGAGAATGGTGCATATTTTCCCTCTTATTTTGTGTGACTGATTCAGAGGAGAAAGGCATTAGCTATCTCGCTGTGTGCTGGTTTTATTATTTCCCTTGGCTTTCAAAGAACATGAACTGTTGAGGCTGCAGTCTAATATAAGAAAATAAAAACACTGTTATTGAACAAGTGTGGCTTCGAGTAACTGGCGGCTTGGGCAGCAGAACCAGTTCTGTCCTTGAACACCCCCACCGATGGGGCCTCAACCTCCTCCCGTGGAAGCCCATTCCACACCCTCGGGGTCCTGACTGTCAGGAAGTGTTTTCTGGCACCTAAATGGAACCTTGGCTCCCTGAGCTTTGCTCCGTTGGAGCGCATCCTGCCTTCCTCTGCAGGGGAGAACAGGTCTCTGCCCATCTCCATTAAATAGCATGGGGAATGAGAGTGACTCCAAATGAGACCACTGATGGAGTGGTCAGTTGCAGTTCAGTCACAAATAGTTCCAGCATGTTAAGACAAAAGCATAGAAACAGAGCAAGTCAGAAGGGCCAGCTAGTCTGACCCCCGGCTCCAGCCGGCTCCGCTCACGACATGCCCACCACGTGCACGTCCAGCCTATCCTTGAACACCCACACCGATGGGGCCTCAACGACCTCTCGTGGAAGCCCATTCCACACCCTCGGGCTCCTGACTGTCAGGAAGTGCTTCCTGGCATCCAAAGGGAACCTGGGTTCCCTGAGCTTGGCTCCGTTGGAGCGCGTCCTGCCTTCCTCTGCAGGGGAGAACAGGTCCCCACCCACCTCCATGTGACGCCCCCTCACATAGCTGTATGTCGCTGTGTATTTTGCCATCGTCGTATATTTTGCCAGGAATATATTCCAGTTGTATATTTTGCCAGGAACGCTTTTGCCATCATCTCTCACCAGAAATGTCCCCCTCCCCACACTTTTTGTACACTGCCCCATTCCCCTAGATCTGGGCAGATCCCAGGCTGGCTGTGCTCAGGCTTGCCTGAGAATCTTCGCTTGAAGAATCTTGAAGCCGGCAAGTTCTCTGCCCCACACTGTCCCTCCACCTCTTCCGCAGGATTGGACAAATCTATCTGAGTGGACTGTAACACGCCAGGGCAACCCCACCCCCATGCCCCCCAGACAGTCCTTCCAGGGCGCAATCCTGTGTGTGCAGGACTGCACCCACAAGAGAAGCAAAGCCACGCTGGGTGGGCCTGAGGGTCCCGCTAGTGCAGTGCTCTGTTCATGGAGGGGCAGGCCCACCAGCGGGATGGACGTGAGAGCAACGGCCCCTCCCACCCAAGTGCCCCGCCAGTGCCTCTGACACGGGGCAGCTGCGCAGCCGACAACAGCCCCCTCCTCCGTGAATTCGTCCATCCTTTTTTCAGGCCACTCAGGCAGGTGGCTTGATTGCCACACCTTGCAGACGTGGCTTCCACAGTTTGTGCTGTGTGAAGAATCCCCCCTTTTGGCTGCCTTGGATTTCCTCACAGTCATAAGCCCAGGTTCTGGTGTTACGGAAAAGGGGGAGAAATGTCTCGCACACCTTGACAGCTGGCTGGAAAATTCCAGGAATCAGAGGATTCTTCCTCTCTGAGCAAACAGAGGGATACATCACAAGCCTTGCTGGAATTCCCAATGCCCCCCACCCCTGCCCCCCCTCTCCTGTGCAAACCCTCTTTCCCCACCAGTGAAATGTGGGCAGCGAGACTGTGCAGGGAGGAGCTGGCATCCTGCCACCAAAGCATCCTACCTTCCGAATGCTCCGTAAGTGTTGACTATCCTGAGCGGGTTGAAGGAGGTGTTCATGACTTGCTGAGAACTAAGCAGATTGATCACCACCGGGATGCTGAGGAAGGCAACCAGAAGCCCGAGCGACAGGTTGACCACCTTGCGGATGCAGGAGCCTGCGGAGAAGGCACGAGAGGCGCCACGGGTGAACAGACGAAGGAAGGTGCATGGCGGGTCTCAGAAAGGGTAACTGCTCGGCTTTGAGGTCCCGTTGAGGCGTGCGGATTAGAGAACAATGCAGCACTGAAGCAGAAGAGGTACCCTGAGGGAATTTACTGCTCCTCAATACTGATATGGCAACTGAAGGGGCTTTGCACGAGGTAGACCCACATGTGTGAATCAGAAGCCAGCTCTTTCTGCCTCAGCCCATTCCCCAATAAGCAGTTGAGGGAATTTCTGGCTGAGCTACAGAAAGGAGTCCATAAAATGGTTGCATAAGATGGTTTCCATGATGTGTCGCAGCATCAGCTTGTCTAGGCAAACCCTGAAGACACACAGCAACCTTTTCTGGCATGGCCAACACAGGTACCTTTGCTTTCACTACGAAAAATCCAGTACTCTGGGCTTCCTTCACACTGGGTCCTTCCAGGAGAGAGAAAAGGTCTATGATGAAGAATTCCCTTGTACTCATCAACCTCCTTCCTGCTCCAGCTGCCTAGGCCAGCTATAGGCACGGCTGTCCCTCTCACCGTCACCCACATCACATTTCAAACAGGTGCCTATCAACAAATATTGTCTGAGCAATTTCCAGAGCAAAAGCAGATGAAAGTACAAACGGCAATGCTTAAAAATGAATGCACAAGTCCACATGGAGCACGAAACTTGCAGCACACTAAAACAAATCCGTTGGAATAGCCAGAACGGTCTTCACCTGGCACTGAGAAGTGCCCAGAGGGCCTCTCTGTGGATGGGAGGGGAGTGTGCAGGCAGACGCAACTGGCTGAAGGCCAGCACCTGCCCACCCTGCACAATGCTTGTCTCATCAGGCTTGGCACACACAAATCCCACGTGGGGCACAACATGGCCCTGTGGAAGGCAGGGCTGTGGAGCCTCGAGCCCAAAGTCCCATTCAGCCATTTTGGGGCTCAATCTGGTCCATGGGTGCCCTGGAAGCCATGCCCTGTTCCTCCCCCACCGGCCACGTTGTGGTTTCCAGCCTTTTGTGCAGGTTCTCCCCATTCTAAATGGCCAAAATGCCCCTTCAAAGGCTGCATTATGGGCAGCAAGAGGTTAAAGCAAAAATAAGCGAAACGTTTTGTTACTTGGGCCCTGCTTCTTTTGTCCTCAGCCTGGCCTGCTGCTGGTACATGCCTTTCAAGAGCTTCTCTGAAATGAAATCAAGCCCTTGGAGTGGGAAAGCTTCTCCACTCCTGTTGGAGGGACAAACGGCTTCCCATGGGCATCACCACAGGGACCCAACCTCCCACCATGCCCACACCTGCTGGTGTACGGAGGCCCTCCACAAAACATGCCGACCCTCACGGGAGTTGGCGTGTGGACTGGAATGCTGGGCTAGGCAGCCAGAGACCCGGGTTCAAGTCCCCAGGCGGGTACGGCGCTCCCTGGGTGGCTTGGGGCCAGTCACTCCCTCTCAGCCTGGACTTCCTTGCAGGGGTTGTTGTGAAGATAAGATGGAGAGGAGAGAACTATGCAAGTTGCTTTGCTTTCTTTCCAAGAGAGAAAAAGGTGGCATGGGAATAACTTCCATACAACCTGTTAAGTTTTAAGCTGTTCTGAATTGTTCTAAATTAATGTGCCCTCAGCTGTGCACCGTTTTTATTTTGCACTTTAAATCACTGTTTTTATTGATATTGTATATTTGTGAATTGTACTCTGCTTAGAGGGCCTTTGTGCTGATTTGGCGGATCGTAAGTCTAAAAATCAATGAACAGACAAATAATTAAAGTGCCTCATCCTGCCTAGCTAAGCAGAGTTGGGCCTCATTGAAACCTGGATGGGGGACTGAAAATGTGAGTTGCTCAGAGAGCTTTGGCTACAGGGCAGTATAGAAATGTAATGCGGTGATGATGGTGATGATGCATGGAATAAAAACAACATGCCACAGGATGAGCTCCCGGAGGAGCCGGAAACCCGTGCATGACCAGTCACGACACTTTGCAGGAGGGAGGCAACGCACACATTCCTGCATGGAAGTGCCCCATCTGCCCGCTCTCTGTTCCTCGCCTGCCTCCTCGCTCTGACTTAAGCTCCTTGGCTGCCGGCTAGCTTGTTTTGTGACTCGCCATGTGCACCGACGAGTTTGCCTTCCACAAAAGCCACAACTGCTCTCCAGCAGCAGTGCGCAGGAGACTCCTCACACCAGGCTGGGTGCTGAGCATGACCTGGATTCCTTTCTCCGCCCAATGAGACAACAAATGTCGACTCAGAAAAGTCCTGGCATGCCAGGCCTCCGCCACTGGGCTGCACCGTATCTTTCTGGAAATCTGCTTCTTTCTAAATAGTCTGGGAAGGGGCTAAAAAGAAGTATGTCTAAAATGCTGCTGGGTTAATAACAAGGCTTGGCAGAGAGAAGGCATGGCAGGCTTGGGAAGAAAGGACGGCTCTTCTCTTCTTTTTTCTAAATGGTCCTCCACAATTGAGGCAGTAGTGAAATACAACTAATGTCCACTGCCCATCTAAAATGCTAGCTTGCAAAATACTGGGATCAGAATATTTTAAGTGTCATAAAAATCTGCTACTTCCCCCCTTAAACATCCAGATCAGTTTAATGTGAAGCATATTTTACCTATGACATACATTTTCGTAGTTTTGCACAGGGATAGCATTTGGGGGGCTATTAGCGCTGCCCCGGAAGCCCCCTGCCTGCAAGCAGCAGGGATGGTACTTCCTGATGGTTAGGACCCCGAGGGTGTGGAATGGGCTTCCATGGGAGGTGGCTGAGGCCCCACTGGTGCGGGTGTTCAAGGACAGGCTGGACATGCACATGGTGGGCATGTCGTGAGCGGAGCCGGCTGGAGCTGGGGGTCAGACTAGATGGCCCGGGAGGCCCCTTCTGACTCGCTCAGTTTCCATGATTCTATGGGGGGTGCTGCTTCGCCTGGCACTGCAAACAGATGTGCCAGGTGAGCTGCTCGGCCTACCACCACCCCCATTCTCCCAGAATGCCTCAGGGGCCTACCGCAGGCTGGGCCAACTAAGATGCTGGCAATGGCAGCTACCTAAGCCCAGCACTTCCTTCTGAGTCCCGGATGGTAAATCATGCCCACCCACCTGCTGCACCTTCAGGGAGCTTGGTGCCCGGCAGCGATGCGCCCCGTGGCACGGGGGCTTCCGCATGGGTCTGCCTGGCCACACCGAGTGCTGCCATTGGGCCCGGTCAGGCAATATGTGCTGCATCAACATATTTCTGAAACATTCAGGCTCCGTAGCAGCACTTTAAATTGGACAGAATGGATTCCATGCCCAAAAGCTTTTTGTCTATTTATAACAGCCACTGACAAGGGACGGCGAGAGATGCACAGGGTGTGGAAATAGTCAAAGAACATGGAGCTTTGTGGAAAAGTGGAGGTTTTGCCTCTCGACCCAGAAGTTCAGGTAAGTGGACCAACATTTGGAAGCAAACAGGCTATTGCATTTGAAGCTTTTGGAGCTCTTGGCTATAAGAGCTGTGGCCAAAATGAGTGGAAGAAAATCTTAATTCCACCTACTGGCTCATAAATGTTCATAAACATTCCAACTTCTGAAGGTTAAGAAACTGTCTGTGCAGAAGGTCTCTCGGGGCAGATGGGGATCTTTGCCATTGGGTGGAAGGGGCAAAGCACAGAAAAGAATATGCAGGAATATGTTGTGCAGCAGAGAAATCCTGAACTCTCATCTGCCTTGCCATTTCTCCCCAAATCCTTCTAATGACACCTTCCTCTGCTATTCCCCCTTGGAATGCCATTTGGTGTCATGCATGCTTGCATGTAAACTGCTGCAGCTTGTTTGGAACGCTTGGATTCAGTCGCAGCTTTGCCTATGGAGGCTGAGAAGGGAACCACAGTTATCAAAAAGCAGGTAAATAAACAAAGCTGACCTTCTTCTGTCCTGACATTAAAAAAACAGCAATAATAAAGGGCAACACAAATAGCTCCTCTCTTATCTCTGCAGGAGAATGACTCTTGCTTAAGCCCTCTCCAGTGCCCCGATAAACTGTTCAGTCTGAGAATATTTTGGGAGAACCATTTGATTCTGAAATGAGGCCCAGCCCCTTGTGTGCATCTCTGAAAGTGGGTGAAGATTTCAGAAGGCCTGGATTGTTTCCTGTTGCACAGAAAGCAAAAGAAAGTGGAATTTGGTTAGTATAAAAATGAACGCTCCTTTGATCCCAAGCAGCTCCTGCTGAAGGGCTTTCTTTCCCAGGCCCAAGCATCCCCCGATGACTCCAGCGTCATCCACCAGAGCTGCCCTCGTATGGCCGTGAGGGGCTCTTGACGGAGGCAGGTGGGTGGCCAGGATGGCCTATGGAACTAGGCACTGCTGAGGGGCTGGTGTCCTCTCTTGCTGGCTGGGGAGTTTTGCGTGGTTGCAATGGGAGATTCTTGAAACATCTCCAACTTTTGTTTCTGGTTTTAAATGATCGAGTCTATTATCTCCAGACTGTAGGGAAAACTCCCTAAAAGCACCATGGCAGAGTCTCTCGTGAGAATACAAATCTGTACCAGACAGTCCAAGAAGGATGGCTCACCATATCCCACAGGAGTGACTTTCCCCGTTGCCTCTTTGGCTTGTATCTCCAGGACTTGGGCCTTCGCACGTGTTTTTTGGGAGCTGAAAAGGAATCCCAAGGAGGCATCATCAAAGCATGCGAGGCTGGGCACGATCGTTAACCAGTTAAGGAAGCTCAGGTTCCCACTGATGATGATCAGCACCTAAATGGGAGGGAGAGGAGAACGTCAGCTTGCAGGAAGGGGTCCAGTTTAGGGATGCCGGAGTCACAGTAAGAGGGGGACTAGGCAGAATCAGGAAAAGCTACCCACCACTTTTTCCAAAAATCCCTGGGGGATTTCCCCCTCCTCTATTTTTCTGCCCTCCCTCCACCCCCAACGGTGGCATCTCCAGCCCTGCTCTGTGTCATTGTATACTGCCTGGCCCACCAACTGGGATGAATTATCGTTGCCAGTGCTTTTTTTGTAAGAAAAAAGGTGCTGGAACTCATGAAATTATTTACCTTTCACACGTAGTCAATCACTGTACACACACCCACACACGTCAGTTGTGTAACGAAACGTATCGGTCGCCGCCCGCAGTAAGCACTCAGCGCGTGACCACACAACCAATCACAAGCCGAGCAGCGCCATCACAACCAGCGTGGACGAAGTACGCATGCATCGGACTCGACACACAAGCAGCCCGCATGCACCTTTTTCATGATTTTGCTGCCAACCTGCTACGCTCGACAGGACGATTCAAATCCACGTGGGCCAAACATCAAATTTTCAAAAGTTACTTTTAAAACTTGGAAAATCTGTTGAAAAAAGGTGCCGGAACTCTGTTCCGGTGCGTTCTATGACAAAAAAAGCACTGATCATTGCAATTGAGTGTTTACGCTTCAGGATGAGACCATAGGTAAGAACGCAGGGGAGACATAAAGGTCTCCACCAGCAACACATTTGGATAGAATGGACCCTTGAGGAGGCTGGAGCAAGGCGTGGGCCAGAACAGCAGCCACCACATCTGCCCCCAAATCCTGGTCCCCCTTGTTTTGCTTCCCCCCAGGCCTCTTTTTTCTCGGCATGGCCAGCTAAGGATGCCGGCCTGTTCCTGTTCTGTACCCTGGAGTTGTCCTCGGAGACGGAACCTTCCATCTTGGAGTTGATCACGCCAGGATCCGCCATGATAAAGATGAAGGGTTGGCTCAAGCAACCCTTTCCATGGCAGTGCTGGGAATCAGCAGGCAAGAGACTTCCGTCCTTCCTGTGAATGGGCAACAAGCAGCTCCATGGTCAAACATCATGGCATTTCTGAAGGCTCCCCAGGACACGGGAAGTTGCCGTCCGAATCGGCCTGCAGATCCCTGCAGGTTTTATGGCAACAGTTCAACAAAGCAAAGGGATAAACAGATGTGTGTCTCTACAGAACTGAATGGATCTAATTCCCTGCCTACGCAGGAAATCAGAGAGTGCGTATGAACATGTGAGTGTGTTTACGCAAAAACAGGTTTCAAGAAACTATGCACCAACTCTGACAAAAGTGGACCAGATATCCAAATTAGGGTTGCGACAACCCCTTTTGGAATCTGTCCCTCTGGAATCCGGCAGACTTCTCTGGAACTCGCCTGGCTCCTGCCCAGTGAGTCAAGCCCAGGGGAAACTCGTGACCGTTCACGGAGCCCCGGCTGTGCGACTGGCAGCCTTCCCACCAGGCTGCCGGTGCTGGTGCGAGGTGCAGCGGCATGCCTGGTGCAGCGGTGGGCATGGGGGGAGGGCTGTCCGCAACCTCTGCGGGACCCCTGGTAGTTGCCCCTCGAACAGTGGGGACCCTTACCAGGGCTTGGCCTCCAGGCTGCTGCACAGCAGACGGAGTCCGGGCGGCCAAGGCAAGGCAGTCCCCCACAAACGGGTTCTCGCACATCCCTCATCCAAACAAATCATCTGCTACGGGCAGCATCCTGTCCCGATGCTGAAAACTTTGCAAGGCCTTCTACCCACGGCCTTCTGGGCGAAACCATTTGCGCTGGCCATGTGCTAACTTCTCAAAAGAAGGAAGACAGTTTAAGAGTATGTACGTCAATACAGGTTAATACAAATTTCCCTCTGTAACAACCACTTCTCAGAAGGGAGCACCTACCCATCATTGCCTGAACAGGTGCTTCAAAGAAGAATGAGCTGTTTCGTGCCTCCAACAACTCAACGAACACTCACATGGCACCCCAGAGTCAGGAAACAGACCTTCTGCTTCTTAAGACACAACTTAAGATGCATGGATGTCTCAGGGACAGATGCCAAGTTGGCAATCCGCTGATCAGGCAAACCAGTTCCTTATTCCATTCCTGCTTAAGACCTCAAATATTACATTCATTCACCCACAACAAGGACCGCAGTTGCTTTGTTTGCCTGGCCTCCATAGCGAGAAACACTGAGCAATAAAGGCTACAACGTCAAACCCAGACACTGCCAAACATCGCAACATTGTGTGAGAGCCAGTGTGGTGCAGTGGTGAAGAGCGTGGGACTGGGACTCAGGCGATCCGGGTTCGAGTCCCCGCTCGGCCATGGAGCCAGCTGGGTGACTTTGGGCCAGTCACAGACGCTCAGCCCAACCTACCTCACAGGGTTGTTGTTGTGAGGATAAGATGAAGGAGGAGAATGGTGTAAGCTGCCTTGAGCCCTTTGTAGGAAAAAGGCAGGATATAAATCAGAATAAAAAAAACAAAAACTGGAAGTATTCAGTAGTCCACTGTAGCTGGGAAATAATATTTAGCACATGGGACAGAGAATGGCAAAATCATCAGCTCCCATCAGTTGACTGATACTAAAGATGGCCTTATCCACCCATGTCTGCCACAAAAAGCATTTTCTGACCATTTCAAAATCCGGATTTCCCCATAATGCCAGTTTAGGATGTGAGATGGATCAATCAGCCTGGAGAAGAGGAGACTCTGAGGGGATCTGTTGCCAACATATAGGTACATGAGGGGGTGTCACATGAAGGTGGGTAGAGACCCGTTCTCCCCTGCAGAGGAGGGCAGGATGCGCTCCAACGGAGCAAAGCTCAGGAAACACAGGTTTCGTTTGGATGCCAGGAAGCACTTCCTGACAGTCGGGACCCCGAGGGTGTGGAATGGGGTTCCCTGGGAGGTGGTTGAGGCCCCACTGGTGCGGGTGTTCAAGGATAGGCTGGACATGCACATGGTGGGCATGTCATGAACAGAGCCGGGGGTCAGACCAGATGGCCGCAGAGACCCCTTCTGACTCGCTCTGTTTCTATGTGTCTAATTATGTGACATTATATACCATGTATCTCTAAAAGCTGCACATCTGGAAATATGTGAATTTCAAAGGATAATGTAGTTTTTATGTTGTTTGAAATTGGCTAGACAAGCAGTTTCTCCCCCATCCCTGCCAAGGATTGGCAAACTAGACCTAAGTGCCCACAGCCCATTTTGGGGAGCCTGGATATGTCTGCAGCCTTGGCCTGGCTTTGACCAGACACTGCGAACGCTGTAACTTTGGAGGAACTCAGCCAGCTCTCCTGTGCCCTGGGCCTAGCGCCTTCCATTTAGAGAGCAACTCGATGAAACTTATTTTGATACGTTCACATCTGCAATGAGGGGCGTGGATGGCTAAATGTACCTAACTTTGAACCACCACATGAACCAAAACTCACTTCACGATTTGCATTTTTCTGAATTTTGCAATGAAATTCTTCAATCAAAAATGCATACAAAATGTGCATATTAGGTAAAATAATGTAGAAAATGCATGAGGAAACATGCTTGCAGACAACCTGTATATTAGGCGAAATGCATACAAAGGGCCTACGTGAGAACAAATGTGCACACAAGCGCTTAGGAATTTACCCTTGAATCCTTGATCCGATGCTGTTGCTGGATCTTCAGGCACTGGTGGCGGGCAAGGAGTACATTCACACAACTATACCTGGTGACCCTGGGTCACACTGACTCAGCAGCAGACATCCATGCCTTGGCTGCATCCATGTTCGGAAGTCTGCAATGCGCACTGTGTGGAGCTGCCCCAGTTGGCAGTGTGGCTGCTCATGGGAGTGTGGACCCCGGACCACGCAGGGCCTGTCCCAAGAGACCCACTTCGGCTGCTCACTGCTTCCTGGGTTCAACCCCAGCTATCGGCTTGAATGTTCAAGGCCCCCCCGGCTCTGGACGAGGCCTTCCAGGGGCCCAGCTGTGCCACCATGAGCCCACCAAGCACGAGGGTTTGCTGGGGAGGGCCTCTGGAGAGCACTGCTGTGCGCAGAGGCCCAATGCTCCTGTGCTGGTCCCAGTCTGTGGAGCGCATCCCCAGGGACTGCGACCCCTGCTTCCCCCCTTGGCCTGCAGAGTGGGTGTGAAGGCTCATCCTTTCAGTGCGGGCCTTCAAAAGGGGCGGCTTTCATGCTCTGATGTGCTTGCTTTTTACAGCTACACGGTTTTATTGTTTAAAAAGTGCCTGCCGCTCTACATTTTTAGCAGGTGAGGCAGCATAACCTTAGAGCAGCGTGTCAGTCGATGCCCCGCGCTTCGCACTGAGAAGCGGGACACTGGGGGAGACCAGAATGGGTGGATTTGTCCACCACCAATGCAGAGCTTCGATTCGTCTTCCCGTGAGAGAGACTGATGCTACCACTGCAGTCTCAAGGCCAGAGCAGGGCCAAGACACCCGCCCCAGCTCCTGGCTCCCACGGAGGAGCTGCGGGGGATTCCTGCCCTTGCATGTGAGCGCTCTTGCAAGCACTGGCCTGCGCTGATACGTACAAGTGGATTCCTGCCGTTAATTTGCCTCCCTGGCCACATCTTTCTGAATGTTAAGAACACAAGCACATTCAGCAATCCATTTTCAGAGTCAGTTAGTTCATTAGGAAAGCACACATTTCTTAATTAATTCCAAGCTGGTCCCTCCGCACTGCTTTGCAATACTGAGGCAAGTTTAAGGAAACAATTCCCTGGTTTGCTGCTTTGACACAAGATCGCTTTACTGCTTCACATGGAATAACTGGGTGGTCCATTTTGTTTTCCTTTTTTGGGTAATGATTCACCTCCCTTTATTACTTGGAAACCAGAAGCACAAGAATCTTATTTCTACCAGCTGTCAAAAAAGAAAAAACCAAAGAAAAGCAGCAGCATTCCAAAATAATGCAAATCTGGCCTCTGAAGTTGGGGCATGAGAGCAGAATTACTAATGGACAGCAGCGAACGG